ACGGGATTCCATCGCCGCCCGTTCATTGAAATACGTTTCGCATTGTACGCGGAATACAACGCTTGCGCGTATTGCCTGTAATTGTTGGCATCAAGTCGCCAGAAGATGAAGCCATTCGCGAGTTCGACGAAGAATCTCGACTCCTCACGACAGCGAAAGCTCAGTCAGTAGTTTCCGCGATATTCTCTTCGCAACTAACGCTATTTCCAAGTACGACGAACAATCGGAAGGTTTGATCTTTATCTTTCAGGCGTATCCCGGAAATGCTTCCTGCAACATAGCAAATTGTCTCGTATAAATTAAAAGAGATATTTAAATTTATACGAATACAATGTATAATGTATAAACTCGCTAGAAATTTGTTTGAACAATAGAAACTATAGATAAGTGCATTTATAGGATATGTACACACAGAAAAATATATACTATATACAAGTAAATATTACTTGTTTCAAGTATTTCATAAGTTTATATATCCGCAAATCTATCATAAGTTCATCATAAGCATCAAATTTATTCAAAATATATTCTGAATCCTAATAAATTTAATATTTCAATCAAGAATATTAAATTATATAATTGAAAGAAATACATTAAATTTTTCTGATCTATTAAATTTTCTTACATTAAATTAACCATATCTGACTTTTCTTCGATAAAATTTTATAATATTCTTCAAAAGAAAATATTTACTTTTTTTGAGTATATGATAATGAGTATTTCTAAAATTTGTGACAAGTCTATTTTAAGACTATTATTAAGAAAATATTCTTTGTTAAAGATAACTGTTATTTAAAAGAAGTAAAGTAAACTGAGTAATCATTTTACTTAGCAATAAAATAATATTTTTCTGTGTGTATTCTCGTGGTGAGATCAACATCGCGTTAAATGGACATTAAAGATAGATCTTACTCAAGGACGATCGCGCCCGTGACAAATAATTCTCGACGGAATTAAGCTTTATCGATAGTATAAATGCGTAGCTGCGGCGATGCTGCATGTCTCTGCTTGGTCGCGATCGCACACACAATTTTGCGCTCAAACTTAATTTATCAAAGCCAGACAACGCCATCGAGTAGCTCGGTGAACATTGACGCTCGAGATAAACGTCATGAATTACGAGTCGACTGACAATACGTATTCATCGCATCCAAGATTGGATCATTAGAGAGAAAAAGACTGGACGGATTAAAACATTCAGAGAACCTGTTCCTTCCCCGTCCGATTATGTTGTTGGGTTTTATATTTGTATTCGAGAAATATGTACCGTCGGACGATCAGATCATTTATTGTCATAATAAATAAACCTTATAAAAAAATTTAATAAAATTGATGAGACAATTATTATCTGTTTCAGCGATTTTTCAAAGAACATCGATATCGAGAGGTCAATTAAGGATTCAAGGCGTAGCGACCTGCCTTTACCTCTGTATGGATTCCTGTGGTCTACTTTACGGCTCGGTAAGTAAATTCTTTCTTTTTGAAAGAAAACTTATTTATTTTTATTTAACGCGGATACGCAAAGATCTTATTTTCCGAATATTTTCACAGTGCAAAATATAAAAAACTATCGCACAAAATCAAATATAAAAATGGAAAGTATAATATATGCTACCAAAATTTCAACATTAATTTAAATTTAAATTATATTTCTTGTTGTCTCTCAAACATCGCAAATAAAGCAACAAGTATCTAATTTTAAAAAAAAAAAAAAAAGAAAAAACATTACGTTTATAAAAGAGAAAGATAGTTGAACATTATATTTTATAGATAATAATGATTTCAACGCTTTAAAAAGTGACATTGCAAACAAACTCTTTTTTTTCCCAATCTTCCCGTATCTGTTAAAATAGATTCCACAAATGTTATTACATAATATTAAATTAATTAATTATATTACAGTTATTATTACAATGATATTAAATTCTTATTAAATATGTTATATAGCGCGTTGCTCTCTCGGGATATACATTTTAATCTCCGACTTTCAAAATATTTTCTATTCATTATATCTCTTTGGCCGCAACCTGATGTTACGATCGAAGTACACGCGCTCGTAAGGATAAACAGAAGGAATAACAAGAGCCAATAAAAAATGTGCCTCTCGATCGATGACTGCTTATAATCAACCTGTTCTCCGCACGCTCGTTCTTTCAAGTATACGAAGAAGAATCGTGTTATAATCACACCCTTGGCGATTGTAATTTGATGTTAATAAGCGCACGAAAGCTTCGTTCGCTTCCATACCGATATACGCCGACGGTAGTACGAACATAAAAATCTAACTTAATTATAAAGCTCTCTCGTGAGCATCTTATTTTTATTTATGTCGACTTGATATTATATTGAAATTGCAATAAAAATTGCGAATTAAAACAAAAAATATCGAGAAATATATTTCGCTTGAATAAAAAAATGATGTCTAATTGTAAGCCGAAAATTTCAGATCAAAAGATCGTCATATTTCGAAAGTTAATTTTTTTTTAAAGGAAACTCTAGACATTAAAGCTAATAATATTGCAAAGATTGTAATTACGATTTATAGAAATGTTATAATTTTATTCGCGTTAATAATTATATAATTTACAATTAGCCAGAGTACTGATTATATTATTGTGAACAATCGTCTGTATTTTAGATATGAAAATATGTAGAGAGAAGCCCCTAATTAAATCATACATTTTCCGGTTATAAATTCTGTCCGATACCAATTATACCCTGCGGGTTTTCCCGCGAACCGATAAAACTCGAAAAAACTTTCAATTGCTCAATCAACTGGATAATTCTAACTTAATTACAGCCCATAAGATTTCATGAATATAAAATATATGTGATACACGCCTGACCAGCTAGATCAGAATTTTGAAAAAAAAAATTGCCAACAGTAGCGGAAGGAATACGCTTCTATCTTCGAAAACACCTCAAAAGCTATAAATCGATTATAAGACGCGCAGTGTGCATTAAAATTGGCTGATTATAGCAAAAATTATACAGTAGCAACCTAAAAAAAGTATAGATAAAAAGACGTTTATGATCAGAATATCGAGTGTGATATTATCCGCCGATATTTTTATAATAGCCATTCTTTCCTTATAGAAAATATTTCAAAAATCGTGAACTTTGTCTCAATCTCAGTCACATTAGGAACTAAATTAAGGGTGAAATGATGCTTCGTTGTTACAAAACATAAATATAAAGAGTTAAATTATATGACATTAATTATTAAAAATTTTGAAAAACTAACTATGAACGTCAAATACAAAGTAAATACAAAATTTTATATTGTGGAATTATTAGATATTTGAATGCTCCTCAAATTTTTGCAGAATATAATTTGAAACGGATCGTCGAATCCGATTTTCTTAAGAGACGTGTGTGACCTATAGCCATAGCAATTCATATTCCACAAGTCGAAAGGCAAAAAAATTGTTACTAGTCAAAAATAATGAATTATAATCACAAAAGAGTCTCTAAGAATTAAAATAAAACTATCGTGTGATGTTCATAAAGAAGATACGATTAATTATAATCTTAATAAATTAGATTTATCTTTTTTAATTCGACGAATTATAAATTTTCGCGATCTGTTATAAGGTCAAGATTGATAGCAAGATTTTCAAAAAATCCTAGAAAAACAGTTTTATCTAGTTTGATCAACCGTGAAATTACATTTAATTATAGAGAAGCGCACATAAATATGAAACTCTGCTACGCACTTTGAAAAATTCAAGCAGAAGATCTAGGTACTTGCTATTATCGCTTTTTAGTTGTTATTAAAAGATATATTGAAAATCTAAAGAGAAATGGTCGTTAAATGTCGAATAAATTAAAATTATCTATTGCTTATTTGTATATAATGTGTGATGGCATATAAAATTTTGTATATTTTTTTGACATTTTTCTTTCTATACAAAAATATAATTTCACAAGAAAAATATATTTTTAAGATATTAAGTTAATAATTAAATAAAAAAAATATTAAAATAAAATATTAAATAAAAAAAATATTAATACATGTCACTAAAGTATGATGCACTCCCTACCAAAATTATCAAAAAAATAGAACATTGATAATTTAGCATTTGAATATATGTCAAATAAGAAATTTAACAAATTGAAAAATAAGTTTATAAAAAAAACTTGTTAAAAATTTCGAATTAAAAATTAATAAGCATATTTGAAATTATTATAAAATTCTACAATAATTTTATTATACTTTTTTGTAATAGTAAAATTAAATATTCGTCATTTGAAAATGTATTATTAAAGATGCGTTTCGCGTAATCCTTCCGACACTCGACGTGTTATTGTACGCGAGACGAAAGTAATCTCGTTTTGTCTCGAGAATCGCCAATCAATTTCAGTTTTATTGCATAGCGATCCGACATACAACCTTAACAACTAATCTTTGATTCCAAGCATCGATGCTTCGTTTTAGTATGACTTTAAATGACGTATCGTCTCATTTATACCGGGCGTATAATCTACCGACATGCCGGGCATATCTTATCTATGATTAGGTTGATCGGTTTTATTTCCTGTTTACATTGCTCCAGGTGGAAGATAATTAAAGGATAAAGGAAATATCGCAGTTCTCCTTAGATTCATTTCTCCGATGCACGCATGTTTACATCTATCATGGAATCTAGCGTCGAATTTTTTATCGCTATTTTTATTCGAGCCTTAACAAATGTTTCTTACATTCCTGAGATTCCAGCGTGATTTTCCGGGAAATCATACTCTCAGAAGTTGACAGTATCAATATACTATATTTTGCGAAAACTATAAAATCTGTAATTGTAAAAGAGACAACTTAGTCGATGCATAATCACGTTCACAAAATGTTATTATTTTATTTTACAATTACTTTGATTACTAATCACTTATAAGATATAAAAAAACAGCGTAATCTTAAAATTTGTCTTATTAATGAGCACTGATAAAGATTTAATCTATAAATATTATTTTCCGTCACGTCAATGTTACGTATGTATGTCAGTATTAAAATTCGAGCACGTAGTTTAAAAACTGCTTCGCCACCGTGCCAGACGAAGCAGCATAAGAAGCAACCCGCGGAATGCGAAACACTCGGCGGTTAATCGGAAGCGTGAAGCACGAACGGGTAGCCCGAGAAAGCCGTCCGGTTGTCTGATTATCGGTCTAACCTGAAGCCTACCAGCGGATGCAAATGGAACATGCGAAGGAAGTCCTTACAAATATGTTACATTAGGTCGAGGATAGATCCGAAGATTTTCCGAAAGACCTCGCGGAATCTCGTCATCGTCGTCATTGCAGTCGTTGAGTCGAACACGTGCTCGTTTGCGTCAAACTCGTTGATCGCCGTAATCGTTAATCCGGCATACAAACAAAGATTTATGCAGTAAAAACCAACGGACGGAATTCTGAAATACTCGGTATTTGCGCGTATGAAGATTGATCTAATTAAAGTAGTTATGGTCATTCTTGTGATTTCTTTTTCTTGCGTGAGGAGTAACAAGCATCAAATAAAAACATAACTCGATTTACATATTCGCGTTGTTTAATAGTCAGTGTAAATTTTTAATTTCTAAACTACCGTGCATTTACTGAAACTTGTATTCTGGGGAATATAAAATAATCGTAGATAGTTAAATTCAAAAAATTTTAGAAACTGTGAGTTATAACACTCTAAAATATAAATATAAAAGATAAAAAGAAAATAGAAATATAAAAAGAATATAATATAAAATAAGAATATAAAAAGAAAAATTAAGCAAATGTATGTCAGTATTAAAATTCGAGCACGTAGTTTAAAAACTGCTTCGCCACCGTGCCAGACGAAGCAGCATAAGAAGCAACCCGCGGAATGCGAAACACTCGGCGGTTAATCGGAAGCGTGAAGCACGAACGGGTAGCCCGAGAAAGCCGTCCGGTTGTCTGATTATCGGTCTAACCTGAAGCCTACCAGCGGATGCAAATGGAACATGCGAAGGAAGTCCTTACAAATATGTTACATTAGGTCGAGGATAGATCCGAAGATTTTCCGAAAGACCTCGCGGAATCTCGTCATCGTCGTCATTGCAGTCGTTGAGTCGAACACGTGCTCGTTTGCGTCAAACTCGTTGATCGCCGTAATCGTTAATCCGGCATACAAACAAAGATTTATGCAGTAAAAACCAACGGACGGAATTCTGAAATACTCGGTATTTGCGCGTATGAAGATTGATCTAATTAAAGTAGTTATGGTCATTCTTGTGATTTCTTTTTCTTGCGTGAGGAGTAACAAACATCAAATAAAAACATAACTCGATTTACATATTCGCGCTGTTTAATAGTCAGTGTAAATTTTTAATTTCTAAACTACCGTGCATTTACTGAAACTTGTATTCTGGGGAATATAAAATAATCGTAGATAGTTAAATTCAAAAAATTTTAGAAACTGTGAGTTATAACACTCTAAAATATAAATATAAAAGATAAAA